TCTGATCAATGCCGTAAACATTTATCGCGAAAAATTTAGGAAATATAAATTCTGAGCGAGAATAAATAATATTACCACAACATCCACACCACATCAATAGATACTATCAATATTACTTTAAATGAAATTGGAATATCTCCTATTAAGAAAAAAATCTTACTGAAAAATATGATCCAAAAAAAGATAGAAAATGTCAAAAGCTAATTGAGAAATAATAATTAACAATTCAGAATAGGTTAGTTGCAAAGGAAAGCTTACAAAGTTCAATAATTATACTTGTACAATTTTATAAATAGGCTGAAGAGTCTATAAAATGTATAAATTTTTCTTATGCCGCCATATCAGTGTATGAGGCAAGATAAGGCTAATTTAGTATATCTCAATACCTGGGACATAAAAAATTCACGCAGTGTTTCCAATCGGTTTAAGCTCAATATTAAAATATATTTCAATTCATATACGTTTATTGTGGATAATATACTAAATACATGCGAGGATCTGTTAATCGATAGGATATATAACCTGTATGTAAGAAAACGATTAGTGGTTTGTACAAAATGTTGATGTAAATAGAGATGAAAATTTTATCCATCCTAAAGGACGAGCAAATTCTTTTCTTTATGCGAATTTTCATATCAAAAAATATTATTTTAACAGTGCTCATTCAATACGGGATACTTATTATTTATACGAAAATATCTAGGTTTAAAAAATACTATTTTATAAAAACCAAGTTTCATGAATTTTACAATCATATTTGCATAATTATAAAATAACTAGCTGATAACCCGTCAAGAATGACGGGTAATCAGAATTTTCCACGTATGGATAAATAATAAATTTTACCTTCATTTGACGATGGATGAATCAGAATAATAGTCAAATGAGAGGAATAGATTATCCGTATTCATCCTTCCAAGATTTCTATAAATTTTTAGAGAAAAGGTCAAATATATTATGAAAAATATGGAATAAAAAAAATATGATTTTTGAATTATGATAATCAATTCTTTTAAGAAATTTTCCACATCTAGACGCAATGGTTTTTACTCTCTCACTTCGTATAAAATCTACATTCTTCTCAAAGAATTATTTAAATGCTTTTAAAACCTTCCTAAATACTCTTTTAAAAAAGACCTGCCATAATAGATTCAAATCAATCATGGGGGCAAACCTGATTATCTCACAAACACTGGTGGTATACCATTGCAATGGGCTATTTAGAAGATTATAAAAATAATTGCCATGGGTCGGTTTTAACTTATTAAGTATACTTATCAATTAGGATTTGGTATTAAGGGAGAAGGCATAGCTTCACATGCCATTTGTATTCCAAAATCCTCCTCCTAACATGGCTATTATCAAAGTAGACTTTAATAATGCTTTCAATAGCAAATTTTGTGAACATTTCATAAATTGTTTTTATCCCAAATTTCCTGTTTATTCAAAATTCCTAGAGACATTCTGTAACATTAAAACTTCTTTATTCAGCCCCATAGATTCTGACAAAAGGATCCAGCAGGGGAGAAGAGAAGAGTAATACGTCCTCGTTTATTTTACCTTGGTATTCATTATCACATCCATTATCTTAAATCTAAATTTAATTTGGATATAATTATTTGGCATCTTGATGATGGAACAACCTGTGATGTTCTTCCTAAAATAATTGGTTTTCAATTTCTTGAAGCCAATTATAAAAGACTCATTCTTAATAAATCCAAATCCGAAATCTGTTTCCATGATAACAATATGCAAAATCCTCATCTGGCAAAATTAAATTTTTTATTGGGTACATAAATAATAAAAATTAAAAAAATAAGGAAATTAATATAATTTAAAAAAAGTATACAAAGTTAGATTAACAAAAAAAATGCATTGTTGGGATTCGAACCCAAAGCCATCAGCTTCGTAAGCGACACTCTTGCCGATTATTCCACAGACGCTTTTCAAAGTTGACGATTTTTTAAATATATATTATAAATTGTGACACTGTAACTATGACACGGCTTTTATATATATTATTATAGATAGATAGATTTATGTTTATGATGTATAAGATGGTAATGTTAGATATTATTTTAATGGATGCTTTGATGAATAAGTGTTTGATATGGTATGATGCTATAAGAATACTATTGGTTATTACGTTGTGAAAAATTTAAAAATATAAGAATATCTATTTAATAGTTTGAATTTTAAAATAGCAACAAACTTTGAATCGCATGTGAATATGTCACACTTAATTATTTTATCTTCTATTTAATTAATTTTGCCAGATTAAGTAAAAAAAAATCTTTACTGGGATTCGAACCCCATGACCTTTACATTTGTAAGCGACACTCTTGCCGATTAGACCACAGACGCTTTTAAAAAATCGTGAATTTTTAAAATATTTTATAAATTGTGACACTGTGATCGTGCCATTGTGACTACAGCTTTTATATATATTATTATTATAGATTAGATATAGATATTTTTTTTTTATTACATAATTTATATGTTTAAGTAAAAAACATTAAAATAATACATAAAGAGCCAAATCAACCAATATAGTAATTTTTATACATTGGACAGAAAAGTTAAACAAAATTTTTAAATATCTGAGCAGGTAGGTCCACCAAAACTTGCCTATTGCACCTCTAGTCAGGATGACATCGGAAATAGCAGATCATAATGGATTTTACCTCTGCCAAAGAATCCATTTATAAATGATATGCGTCTGCCACTTTTATTTTCCTGTGCATTTACCACCAGAGGTCTGCAAATGTATGAGAATTTAGTTAAGTCTCAAAGGACGGAACCACCAAGTTGGATTAAGAAAAAAAATAATCATTGCTGAGATTGAAACATAGGTCCATCAGATTTGTAATCGACGCTCTTACCAATTAGGCTATAGACACTTTTCAAAATTCAGCCCATGAAATGGTTTTTCAGAAAAAAATCATAGCATTAAAAAATTTCAGTCACAATTTATAATATATATTATAGATATTTCAGTTAGTTCTAGTATATATATAATGGAAGATGAATGAATGTTTGATAAGATACGATTCTATGGTGATTTTTATTGGACTAATATTTTTTAAAAGAATATTAAAAATTTAAAAATATAAGAATACCTATTTAATAGTTTAAATTTTAAAGTAGCAACAAAATTTGAATCGTATCTATTTGATTAATTTTGCCAGATTTAGAAAGAAAAAAATATTTTGCCAGATTGAGAAAAAAAATCTTTGCTGGGATTCGAACCTAAGTCTATTAGATTTGTAAACGAGGCTATTGCCGATTGGGCCACAAGTTACTTATCAAAATTAATTATTTTTTAAATAAATATATATTATAAATTGTGAAAGTGTGACTGTCACAGTTGACAAGGTTTTTATATATATTTTAGATTTTTCGAAAATATTTTTTACAAGTAAAAGATTATTATAATCGCAGCTAAATAATTTTATGATATGCTGGAAAATCTTATTATTTAAATTCAAAAAAAAAATTCTTTCTTTCTTTCCGTAAATTTTTTTTAGATATAGATAATTAAATTACAGAATAATAAAATATTAAATTCAAAGAAATTCGAAAAACGAAATACCTGGAGTTTTCAGATTCAAAATTTACAACTTAAATAAAAACCGCAAGATTATTATTTTATATTTAATAAAAGGCTTTTAATAGAGTTACAAAATGACATAGAATTTTTATTTTTAGCATCATTATTTATTAACTTACCTAAATTTTTAAAATTCGCATTTTTCGAAAAAAGCCATTTTTGGCACTTTTGACCATTAATATCTCAGAAACAATTAGTATTTGGAGGTTAAAATTTTGAATTCGAGGCTTTCTAATGATGTTCTCTCAGTATGCAAAATTTTATCAAAATTAAAAATCGGGTCGAAAAGTTATTTGGTATGGAATTACCCACTGGCTAAAATATTTTTCATAAATATTACTTATTCCGACATCTTATCGCATATATATTTTAATTTAGTGGCGTATTTATCACATTCACAGCAGTAATAAATACGCCTCTAAATTATTCTATGAAATATCAAATAACTCGAGGATACTAGATGTTCTCGTTTTTAGGTGATAGTTTTTAATATTTCCAGAGCTTGTTTATAAATATCTATCTTTTGCCTTTTCCTAAAAAATATCAAAAGGAATTTATATAATATTTATGATTATTAATAAAATGCCATCTTTAAAAATTTAAATAAATAAATAAACGAAGTGAAAGAATTCGAATAAATTAAAATTTTTAAAATATATCCATTTTATTCAAATTATAAAAAAAATAATAATTAGTTATATATTTATCATTTAAAATATTAATTAAACTTTTTTAAATTAGTTAAATAACTAGCTTTTTTTAAAGCTATAGCTACTCGAAAAAAAAATAATACTGATGTTAATTAACTATTTTTTATAAAAGTAGCGTCGCTACCAATGGCTACTTAAAAATATGTAGCGCTGCTACTTGCACTGACGCCTATGTGTGGTAACGATCATATTTAACATTTTATATTATAATATAATCCATTATAGATAAAAATTGACTTTTAATAAAATATATTTTTGATATATTTTAAATTTTTACCTCTGACAAAATAAATTATTTTTATATTTTGAACTTATATAGTAGAAAATATAACTTATCAAAAGATTATTCTAGCATAAAATAATTATTATCAATCATCATTAACTTGAAAGGAAATGTTAACCATGTTTTTTTTAAATCCTCGTATCTTTTATTTTCTAAATAAATATTTGCAATATATAAATATACAAAAATAAAAACACATATTGATTTTTTTTTCAAAATACATTGTATACACTTTACACTACTTAGTATTATTATTATTGCTAGACTTATAATACCAATTTATTAAAATTTGATCAAAATTTTTTATTATAAACAGGGTGTAGCTCCTGTTGTAAAAAATATTTTTTGGAAATGATTATTGTAAAATTGTTATCTTTTATTTTTATATATAATTTAGGAACTTAAAGGACAACCGCATATCTTATATTGACCCAGGAGCATTCGAAGGCCTCATCAATCTCATTAAAATGTAAAAAATTTTTTTATTTATTTTGTACCAATAGATAATTATAATATTGAGTTAAAGATCGGAACATATTTAAGAATCTGAAATGGATACAATTTTAATTAACTAGTATTTTTTTAAATGTCAATTTTTTTTTGGATTGCAAGGTATACATGTGCGCCGCCGGTCAAATACGCTGCCATATTTTTGACCATGCTGAGGCCGCCGCCAAAAAGTGTCGGCGCTCTGTAAAAATTTGGCCGTGGCGGCGTGATACATATTTTTCATTATTAAAAATAATATTTATTTTATATATTAATATATATTCTTTTTATTTTAAAATTAAAAATGAATTAAAGATTTTATCTGAACATTGTATATATAATCTATATATATATTATAATAATGTTATTACAAGGTAAGTTATAATAATAGTAAAAAACAATTTAATATTAGTAAATCACAATTATATAAAATTATTAATTCTTGCTATTTTTTATTGATTGAGATTCAAGTTCCCTTTTAGCGTTAACATTATAATAGGCAGCAAAATGGCCAAAGTCTATCCTATGCATAGTGTTTAGGGGTTTCGGATATTGAAAAAATAAAGCTGAAATAATTGTATTTTACTAAGTTTATGGCTGAGTAGACCGACGTTTGACAAAGGATACAGTGATAAGGCTTTACCATATCGCAATTAAGTCTAAGACATATGGCGTGACGTAGTTCATCATTGCTTAGGAGCTGGCATTAGAAGAAAAATTTAAATATATTTTTGAATTATTAAAAAATGCGGTTTTATTTTTTAAAATTAATAAATATAATTTGCTATAAAAACATTTGATTTGTAACAATCCATATAATATACGTTCGCTCAATTTTGTAGGCTGTGACCAACGTAGTAATTTACAGAAAAGGTAAAAATATTATTATATATTTTATTCTTTTAATTTTAGATGTTTCAAATATTTTGTATAAGACCATCAATTATTATATAAAGATCAATACAATATTATATTAATGCAATCTACAACTCATCATAAATATTTTTTATCATAAAAGGAAATCTTAATTAATGATTTTTATTTTATTGCCATTATAACATAAATATAAACATAGCAGGTATAACAAAATACATTATATCCTTGCAAGCAAAACCTTCTTAAGTGTTGTTGCAGATAAAGTCTTTTGTAATATATGCTTGCAAATAGCACCTGATTAAGATGGTGAGGATGAAAATAATTATTATTTTCAGAGTAAATTTTTTGATTATTTTGAAAATATGTGTTAATTTTTTAATTAGTTATCCGATCAAATCTTTTTCAAAAAATAACATCAAACATATTATAACATTTACTTGACAAAAATGACTCATCATGTAAAGAAGAAATATCTAAACAAAATTTAAAATTATTTTTCAAACCCATTGTAAAAGATTCTACTGACCCAATAAAAGATAAAAAATGGATTCTGGTAAGTAATTATGTTCTCATATGTTGCTAGAATTTAATGCCATTCACTTCTATAAATAATACTGGAATGCAAGATTTTCTAATATTTGTAACATAATTATAATTTTTTAAAGTGCAATCTTAATCTTTATTTTTATTATTTTAAAATAGAATTTTTAGATAACATTGATCTCATTTCACATTTAGAATTTTTAAAGGCATCATGTTTTCATTATTAACTTTTTATTATGTAGGAATATGGCATTATTTCAGATACAAAAGATTTACCAGATGGAACAACACTTAGCCGAAGTGGATTTATATCAATGAAAGCATACATATGTCAACAAATAAATATAGGTCCAAAATTTTATGCTATAACTTTTGATGTGTGAACAGACAAATATAGACGGCGAAATTATATTATCTTTACATTTCACGAAATAGGTAATAATTTTAATATTGTATTTTATACATTGGCGGCACATCACGCCACTCAAAAACATACCGCAGAAATTATTCTTTCCGAGATAGAAAAAATTGAAAATGAATTTGATTTAGGGTTTAAGAAAATTCAAATGGTTAAGGGTGCAGGACTCAATATAAAGAAAAGTGTTCGTCCAGAAGAATATGACCATTATTTATGTTTGGGGCATGGATTACATAATCTAATGACAGTCGATGGAATAAAAAGTTAATAAAATGAAAAATCTCATTAAAAAAGTGAGAGAAATTATAGTTGCCTTAAAATTCAAAACGCGGTTTTTGAAAATAAACGATATCGAAAATAGGAAATGTTTTGAATAGATATCATTAACATCGGATATTCTAGATTTGGATGATAATGATCCTTTTTATGAAGATCGTTTGGGTTTTGATAATGATAGTGCAAATCAAAATCATATGAGAAAAGCATAAAACCTTAAAATTAAATGTGTCTACATATTGGCATAGTATTTAAATTATGTTAGAATGTGTAAGTTAAAACAAATCAATAAAACAATCCATATTTATTCATAATTATATTTATCTATCCATTAACAAAGAATATAAATATTATAAATCATAATTATCCCGCTTCACATATTCTTCACTCCCACAGGTCCATTCTTTATTCCTCCCAGCTGACATCTTCTCCAATTAATCCAATATCTTCACTCCAAAATAGTTAACAAAGGAATCCTTAAAAACCAGACATGTGATGATCACGTTTTTCCACTATCCACCAGGAAACCTTAATTCCCCTGTCAAAAAATAACTGACATTTGATGTATTAAATTAAATTTATTTCTTTTTTTCAACAGCTACAACACGCCTACCCTTCACAAGCCCAGCGTCCCTCTCTCTGTGGTGGTGTTGTATCGAATCGCCCCTTTGAATTGTATCGGCTTTGAACTGTATCGAATCTCCCCTTTGAATTGTATCGGGACGCCTTGAAGACGTTCAGGGAATTTGTCGTCGTCTTCCCTTATGATGATTTATAATATAATATCGCCGTTACCTTTCAACATATAATCGCGAAAACACATATTATCAATAATGACATGTGCATTGGGGTATCTGCATTTATAATCTATGGAACATTAATATGGACAATGTAATATCAACCAAACATAATAATTCATTATGATTCATGGTAATTAAGAAATAATGATTTTACATATAATAATGTAATGTGAACACATGGTCTATGTATGAAATGCAATTTCAACACATGTAATTTTCCTTCTGTCATGTGAAAAAAACAAAGCAACATTTTTATAAATATCTCCTAAAATGAATAGAAAAATCCATCTTTAGGTATTAAAAATAATTGCGAAACTTTGTCAAACAAAGATTTTAAATAAAATTACAAAACATAAAATAAATTTAATATTTTATAGGGAGGAAAAATGTATAATACGTAGAAAATACAATTTCCCATCTAGGAATTACTCAGTATCCTAAGAAAAATATACCATTTCTACCTACCTCTGCCATCACAATGAGCACAAATTCACAAAAATGTAGAATGCAACGTAACAAAAATTGAGAATATAATGGGCTATATGGTATATATGTAAAGAACTTTTAATACACCTTCACAATATAAAATAATTTGAGTCTTTTCTTTAAAAAAAAAGTTCATAAAATAAATAGTAAAATGTAATGTGCTATAAAATTATAACAAAGATAAAAAAAAATGTAATATGCAGCATAAATTTACAAAAAAAATTTACACAAAAAAAAACTTTCTCCAGTATGCAAACTAAACAATATTCTCACCTCAAGGCATACCCATCAACATGGCTGACCTTATCTGTAAAAATATTTTCCCTTCACATCATTGCATACCATAAAAATAATATAATAATTGCAAATAAAACTTTTTATAAAATTTTATAATTTAAAATAAATATATATATATTAAATATAAAGACTTCATAATTTGGAAAAAAAAATCTTACACATCATATAAATCCATACCCAATTTATATATATATCAAATGCAGGCACTAAATCAAAATAACTATCCACCTATAACATTATAGATATTATTCTGACTTCATCATACTTCAATTCCTTTAAATTATCATTCATAATTTAATATATCATATGTGTAATTCACATTACACCCTATTTCATAAAAATGGTTAATTACTTCAAAATGAACAACATTAACTCACCCTCAATAGATCCCTTAATAACATATTAACCTTAATTGAAACTAAATTACAAATACAATATATTAACATTAATTATTAATAAATGAACCCACACATGTCCATCCCTTTAAAAACCCAAAATGCATAATTATATAATACACACTTTATTACAAAAGTCTATTTCCATATATATTTTCCTAAATTTCAAATATTTAAATATTTAGCAATCCTTTCCGTCCTGCTGATCTTGAGGTCTTAGCTTCCTATGACGGAATACCTATAACACCATTCAATGAGTTTTAAGGCATACCAAATAATAAGACCATATCTACTGTCAAAATTGGATGTACAATATACATCTAGACATATAATATACCAAATATTACTGTCTTAAATTCCTGATCTTTATTCCTGCCTAATACTCATTACATACTTTCTATCTTACCCTTTGTAAGCTAAATATATAAGTATAGAAACCCTTAAACTCACCCCTTAATCTCACCTACCCCTGTATAGTTTCTAGTACTTGTGTTGTGCACAGTAAAATTCAAAATTACATGAAAAAAAATGGTTCTTACCTTTTTATAACAAATAACTCTTTAATCTCCAGGTTCTGTACATGCATCACTTTCTTATCCTTTACATTGCATTTGTTCCGCATTAATCCCTAGATAAATCCTGAAATCATCGGCAACAATAAAACAAATCAATAAAACAATCCATATTTATTCATAATTATATTTATCTATCCATTAACAAAGAATATAAATATTATAAATCATAATTATCCCGCTTCACATATTCTTCACTCCCACAGGTCCATTCTTTATTCCTCCCAGCTGACATCTTCTCCAATTAATCCAATATCTTCACTCCAAAATATTTAACAAAGGAATCTTTAAAAACCAGACATGTGATGATCACGTTT